AATTGTGCAAGGGGTTAATTTGGGGATGTTGAGGAATTTAGGAATTTTGGGATGTGGGAATTTGGGGATATAGGAATTTGGGAACGTAGGAATTAGACATGTGTGAATTTGGACATGTGGGAATTTGGGAATGTTAGGAATTTGAACACATGCGAATTAGAACATGTGTGAATTTGGACATGTGGGAATTTGAACATGTGTGAATTTGGACATGTGTGATTTTGGGAACTTAGGAATTTGGACATGTGAGAATTTGAACATATGGGAATTTGGAAATGTGAGAGTTTGGACATATAGAAATTTGGATATGTAGAAATTTAGACATGTGGAAATTTGGAAATGTAGGAATTTGGACGTGTGGGAATTTGAACATGTGGGAGTTAGGACATGTGAGAATTTGGACATATAGAAATTTAGACATGTGGAAATTTGGAAATGTAGGAATTTGGACGTGTGGGAATTTGAACATGTGGGAGTTAGGACATGTGAGAATTTGAATATATAGGAATTTGAACATGTGGGAATTTAGATATGTGGAAATTTGAGAATGTTAGGAATTTGGACATAAGGGTTTAGAACATGTGGGAGTTAGGACATGTGGGAATTTGGGAATGTAGGAATTTGAAAATATAGAAATTTGGGAATATGGGAATTTCAGATATATAGTATCTGGCCAAATAAGTATTTGAATCCTGGAATTTGTGGACGAATATACAAACTTCAATAGAAATAAATTCTCTAATTTCCCTCAAACATCCTTCCAAACATCCCTAGGTATGTGGAAATCCAAGAATTGGATATCTGAAAGTATATAAACTTGAACACACAAAACCTTAAAAATACAAATATTTAAATTCCCGAAAATTTGAAAACATGAAAATATAGAAGTTTAAAAAAAATGAAAATGTTCAAATTTAAACACTTCTAACTTCACATTGTACTGGAGTGTACGTGCTCTTCGAGAGCAACCGGGGATCCTCTTCGAGGACACAGGATGTTCTTCCTTTGGGAAAAATAGAAACTTTCTCGCTGTTCGTCCGAGGATTTTCCCAGATAGTTCAGGGAAAAAGAAAGGGATAAGCTGTGACGAGAAATGTGGGCTACGTTACCGGACTTGTCTATAGTATTCTTTCTATTCCGTCTGGATCACTCCTAAAATAATCTTCAAGGTACTATGATTATCCTCAATGTTTACATTTCACTTCATATAATATTTAATTTTATTCTACTGAATTATATTAAATATTATATGTTCATGGGTTTAAAACCTAATTCATTTTAAATTATACCCATTCATTAATAAATAAGAGTATATACATGTATACTCGTATGTAACACATGGGTGAAATATACATATACAGAAAATAAATAAAGAAAAGAAGTTAAATGAACATATATAAAATATTATAAAGAATGTATGTATTTATGCATATGTGCTTTGAGCGACCTCTCTAATTTAAATTTTTGAGCTGCAACTCTGAGAGCATACTTTTGAAACCATATATTAATTGCTCGGGGGCTGAGAGCGAAAACAAAATTATTCTTCAAGCATTCTAAGATACACTGATGACAAAACACTAGTTGGCTGAAGAGACTGACCCAGGTGTTTAGAAGAACACATATGGAAATCTGTACTATTCCTAAATTCCTATATTTCCGAATTTCTATATGCTCGAGTTTTCATATTCTTGAGGTTCCATATCTTCAAATTTTTATATCCCAGAATAACTATATTACCGAGTTCTTACCTACATTTCCGAATACCGAGATTCTCAAATTCTTACATACCCAAGTTGCTACGTCCCAAAATCTCTACATCCTCAAATCGCTATATCCCCGAATTCCCATATCCCCAAATCACTATATCTCCCAAATTGGTGCATCCCCTGATCGCTACATCCTCCAATGAGCACGTCCCTAAATCGCTACATCCCCAAATCGCTATATCCCTGACTTCTCACATCCCCAAATCGCTATATCCCTGAATTCTCACATCCCTAAATCGCTACGTACCCCAATTGCTATATCCCCCAATGGGCACCTCTCTAAATCACTACGTCCCCAAATCACTGCGTCCCCAAATCGCTATATCCTCAAATTCATATACCCCCAAATCGACATATCCCTAAATTCCCACATCTGCAAATTTCCAAATTCTCAACTTGACAAAAAATTTGTCAACTCACTCTTCATTAAATCAAAAATCGCGAACGAAGAACAAATTCACCCAAAGCGACGATTCGTACAAGCCCGGCGCTATAAGCGGAAACGGAAGCACAGAGAAGGCGATAGCTGGAACAGGACGAACGGTATACTATGAAATATTTCTTTGAGGATTTTGAAGCTCGCGGAGTATGGCGAGGGGAAACGTTTCGTTTGCCAGGCTATGCCAGAACGTGGCAGGTTACGCGGCCCTTGCACAACATTCAAGAGCTTTGCGCCAGTTTCCATGAATATGATCCGGCGCGAAGCATAAGAGGAAAGTTCCGTTCGCGCGACGACGGCTCTTTATCCGCGAAATTAACGAGATTCCAGCCGGCACCGGTTACGGATACGAAAAGGGTGCCTTTCAAACCCGTGGAAATTTCGCGAACGATTCTCGAGAGCTGAGCGCTGGAAAATTGTTATTGATGTTGCATAACCGGAAGTGCGAACTCGCATTCTTCCCTGAAATCTGTTTAAATTTCAACCTTTTGCTAGGAGAATTTTACGGGGACAGTTATGATTATATATTTAATGTATACAGCAAATGACCCAAAACCGAAGGCAATATCATGTAGTAACTTGAAATGACTTGAAATTCACGAGACAGTAAGAAATCGCCGGGACAAAAGTATTCGTACACTGAATTATTGCTACAATTATTTTAGCAGGAATTTTATAAATATTTTGTATGATAACCCTTCCGGCGAATCACTTCACGTAATCGGGCATTGACAACGCCAAACTTTTAACTAAGTCAGGTTCTATATTACACCATTCTCTTTTTAATATTTCTTTCAAGTATTCTTTCGACGTTATATCATTTCGCACATTTTTTTCTAGTTCCCATACATGTTCGATAGGATTTAAGTCAAGCAATTGTGGAGGAGTTGCTAACCTGTGGAGAGTATTGGTATTAACCACTGACGCACTATGCAGGCTGTATGTTTCGCGTCACAGTCTTGCTAAAAATAAAATTCATCTAATTCATAAATCTAATTCATTCTAATTCATCTGCACTATTTTGTAAATTTTCTTTTAAAATATTTAAATACAAATGTTTATCCATTATTTTATCTATTATTACTAAATTGCCGCCTCCAGAAGCAGCAATACATCCCCACACCTTCACACTTCCACCTCCGTGTTTCGTCGTCGGTTGCATATTTTTGAAATGCAATTCAGTATTAACTTTCCGCCATACTTTTTTACTACCGACTCAAAAATATTAAATTTTGACTCGTCGGAAAATACTACGTTTTTCCAGAGTTCGTCGCTAGCATTTACTGTTCTGCAAATTCTATTTTCTTCTAAATTGTTCTTTTTATTTCTATATTTCAAGTGTACGAATACTTTTGTCACTATAATAAGAAGTTAATACTGTTTCTGTACTTCAAGGCAGAAATCATAATTTCCAACTATATATTTCTATTCTTCAATTATTAGTAAATTTGAGTTTAAGTGCCTCCAAAAGTTATAATCTTTACAGGAGTGTTTCTTGAAGAAAAATGAAGGAATATCGAAGCAAAAAAAGTTTCTTGAAACATCTAGCAGACACAGGTGCTTAGATAAATGTCGTTTTTTAAATAGCATTATTAAACTTTACTATAACCACAAATATTTTTCTGCTCCTCTCCTATATTTTACATCACATCATTCTCTTGAACCCATCATAATATCATAAACGTCCATTTATCATAATCCAGCTATCTATTAGCAAATGCATCCACTTCTAGTTTACATAGTGCTTCCATAATTACACAGCCATTATCAATAACTGTACCTGGAAATACCTGGAGAATCCATAGAATTGCCAGGGCTAATTTCCTCTCTACATCCTCAGCAATATTTGCGAGACCAAAATACACGATACCATAATTACCTATGAAAGACTTCGTATTCTAACAATGAACGGTTTGAAAAAACGCCCGGTATGAACGAAGTCAAAACTCTTGGACAACTATTTGAAACTTCCAAGTGTCCATCGAGAGGATGGGATTTATCGAGTGCTAGTCCTATCGACTTTAACGAGGGTCGAAAGCGTTCGACTCACGCTTTCTCAGGCGCAATCGAGCGACAAGCAGCTCGTTAATTAGTTTAAACGATCGAACTTAGGAAGGTCCGTGTCTAAGACGTTGGCACTTTCCGCTTGGCTCGTCGAAGACGCGGCTTGAAGGCACGTTTACACGCGGCGACAGAGCCAAGACAGCGGATGACAGGATGGCACGGGCTTTACATTAATGAGCGGCCAATCGGGACCGGTAATTGGCCGACAGGACAGGATCTCATCGAACAGGGTCGCTTTTGATTCCTGAAGGCCCTGTCGTCGTCATCTGAACGTTCTAAATGACATGAGAGCATTACGGCGATCAATTACTCCGCCAAACCACCGATTATTGCTATTTCGTTATATGGATAATTAATTACTTGGATCTAAAACTACTTTTTATTCTTATTTGACAATTTCCTGACATTTTTCCGATATTATATTAAAAATATCAACTCTCAAGGTTTATTTTGAATTATAAAAATTTTAAAAATTACTTGAAATATATTTCTATGAAACATAGAAAAACTGACATGATTGGATTACAGCATGTCTCATGCTGTAATTTATTTTTTAGTTGACAGCACAGACTTTACTGTATTAAGGAAACCAATAGTTGTCTGAAGAAGTTCAAATAGTAGACAAAGTTCCGGAATAAATTTAACCAAACACTGTTCTACAAATCATGTAGGACATTCACGAGTGTTTTAGTAACTAAATTGTTTCCACTAATTTACATTTCTGTTTACAGGTGAAAATGGGGAGGTGTCATGTGGGTTTCGTCGTGTGGTTGGTACTCACCTGCTTCACCAGCGACGCATTGCAGCAATACAGAGAAAAAAACATAAGTAAGTGAAACTTTGTATAATTCTAATTAACATACGTAACACTTTTACAAAACTATCTTAAGTTCAAATTAAAATCGGTTTAAAAGTGACTCTACTTGAATTTTTAACAGCTCTATTTTCAATTTCAATTAGTAGCAATAAATCAGTGCAAACAAAATTTGTTAATTATATAATATACTACTGTATACAAAGATAATAAATAATTTTTAATTTTTAACAATTGTGGTAAAAATAAGACTGTTAGAGACTAGTAATGGTAATGAACAGTGTCACATATGATAACAATAAATAATTGATATCTCCCAATAAAATTAATTATACAGGATGTCTTACAACTAGTGTAGGTCCCTAAAATGGAAAGTAGCTGACGCGATACTGAATAAGATTTCCCTTTGCAAAAATGGGGTTTGAAGCTTCGTTTTTAAATTATTAAGGAAAACACGGACCAATCATACCGCGAGGATTGCGCATGCGCAGATGCGAACGGAAGCTGCGGATAACGCGTAGTTATCCAACGCTTGGTAATCCAACGCGTAGTAATGCAACGTGTGGTAATGCAACGCGTGGTAATCCTACGCGTAGTAATCCAAAGCGTGGTAATCCAACGCGTACTAATACAGCGTGTGGATATCCAACCGGTAGTAATCTAGCGCGTACATATTCTACGCGTAGTAATCCAACGCGTAATAATGCAACGCGTGGTAATTCTAAGCGTAGGAATCTAATGCGTGGTAATCTAACGCGTAGTAATCCAGCATGTGGATATCCAACGCGTAGTAATCCAACGCGTGGATATTCGACGCGTAGTAGTCCAACGCGTAATAACCCTCACGCTCTGATTGGTCCGCGTTTTTCCTTAATAATTCAAAAACGAAGCTTCAAACCCCATTTTTGCAAAGGGAAATCTTATTCAGAATCACGTCAGCTGTACATCTGTCTAATCACACCTAAATTAATGTGACACGATTTCTAAAGAAACTGAAAAAATAATAACGTTAAAATTGTATATTTAGTCCTACAATTTGAATCTAGCTAATTTGTAAAAAAAAACTGAAGAAACCAGCTACAGTAATTTCCCCTGGATTTACAGAGGTTAATTAAAAAGGAAAAAATGTCTCCATTCTGAGTATTAGTTCAAGTCGTCCAGTAAAAGTCCGTATCTTCAGAGAGTGATTCCCTCGGAACATTTTCAGTTTTCCTCACAAGCAGTTGCACATCACGAATGATGTAGGATCCGAACATTTTCTACTGCTCGGTTGGTGAAACGATCTTCTACGGGATTAAATCCCGAGAGACGACACGAAGTTAATTAGAACCACGTGTCTTTTCGCCACTAAAACTTACAGCCTTCAATGTTCCCTTGGTGTCATGTACTCGTTTGAAAAGCTTCATCTTATTAAGCGTTGAATTGGATCACGAAATTCGATATTAGATCTGATTAATCAGCTATTCTCCATTATACTATTGGAATTTATGTTCAACGTTGTCTTTACTATAATAGCTGTTTTATACTTTATATTATTATTCCTTTTTTTTATTATATCTTTTGACATAATTTTTATATATCAATTATTTTGTTATCTAATCAAATTGTACAATACAGTTTAGTACATTCCATTTCAATTTTGAATCAACATGTTCAAGCAACAGATTCAAACTACATAGTGTTAAGAATTACAGCTCGCAGACAAAGGGAAAAATAAATTTCCCCTGATTCTTGGACCCGTAGTCTGATTCGTACTAATTTCGTAAATTAGTCCGTCGACGCTCGTTCTACTCCCTCTCAATTACGTTTGTTCCTTTGTATACCACGTCTAAATTCTTGTACATACTTCTTACACCAGTATCTTGCTCCCATCTATCTCTTGTTTAAATACGCTTAGCATTCTCTTAAATTCTCTTTTCATTCTCTAATTAGTTTGGTTGTTAACCAGATTGCCTTCTCCCTAACAAACTTCTACTGAAAACTTTTCTACTGAAACTTGAACACTTCCTACAAATTCGAAGACAGGTCAATCTAGGAATATCTAGCTATCTGGAGGTTCAAGAATTTTTTCAAAATTTTGTGGTTTAACAATTTGCAAATTGAAAAATTTGAAAATGTACAAATTGAAAACTTGAAAATGTCCAAATTAAAAAACTTGAAAATGTGCAAATTAAAAATCTTGAAAATGTACAAATTGAAAAACTTGAAAATGTCCAAAGTGACAATCGTGAAAATGTCCAAATTAAAAAACTTGAAAATATCCAAATTGGAAATCTTGAAAATGCCCTAATTGATAAACTTGAAAATGACCAAATTGAAAAACTTAAAAATGTCGAAATTGAACATCTTATAAATATTATTTTCCATACCATATACATGCTTACCACAAAGCCCTATTTTCTCCGTAAATCATTCAAGTTCATACAACATCACATATCAGTCCATCGAACAAGACCTTATTCGAGTCACTTAAGTACGACACATTTATGGAACAGCCTATACCAGAAGTTTTTCTTCGACTCTACCGAGGTGTAAATGAATTTACAACCCCGATTACGAAAGTTTCGCCATGAAATTTTCGTGAATCGATAGCTGACGATAAGAGCGTGCATATAGCCGCGCGCATATGGGACGTGCACGGTCGAGATTCTCTATCCGCTCGATAAACTCGACGCATCGAAATCGAGGGGCTTTGGAATTTACCCATCGGGACTCAAAAGCTCGACGAATACCCGCTGATATTGGGAGCAGATTGGAAGCCAAGAACCTACCGCAAGATTGAAAAGTTCACTCCCGGTTCTTGCGCGGTTTTCCTGCAACACTAACGATATTAAATACTCCTTCATTCGGAGAAACAAAATATAAAATACGCAAGATAATAATTTAACAATATTCACTGACTTAATTATCATTACTGGAGTCTGAACTTATTAATGATCAAATAAGGAATTCTTAAAAACCAAAATATTGCACATATTCTAATATTTTCTAATATTCTTTTAGTATCACCCTTACGGTGTTATTGCATTAATTGTAAGAAAGTAATAAAAATTGAAAATAAGAAGATTGATAGAAAAATGATTATAAGAAATTTCAGTGGGGTTTTAGAAGATTTCTTCTGATATTGATATAGTCTTATTAACATTGACCAAATAATTATATTCGTATGATGATTATCTCGATGAGTATCAATGTACTGATGTGAACACATAAGATCGTTGCAGTATTCCTAATACCTATATTTCCGAATATGTATAACCTGAATTTTCATATTTTTGAGTTCCCATGTTTCGAAATTTCTATATCCCCGAATACCTATATTCCTGAATTCCTAGACCCCCAAATAGCTACGTCTCTAAATTGGTGCATCCTCAAATTACTACATCCTCAAATTCCTACATCCCCAAGTTGGTACATCCACATATCGCTACATGTCCAAATTCCTAGATTTCCAAATCGCTGCAGCCCTAATTCAGCACATCCCCAAATCGCTATATGTCCAAATTCCTACATCTCTAAATCGCTACGTCTCCAATTCAGCACATCCCCAAATCGCAGTGTCTCCAAATCTCTACATCTCCAAATTCCTAGATCCCCAGTTCGGCGCATCCACAAATCGCTACGTCCCTAATTCGGTATATCTCCAAATTCCTACGTCTCCAAATTCTTACATCCCCAAATCCCCAAATCCCCAAATCCCCAAATCCCCAAATCCC